CAGAAGCACTCTCAGATAATAGTTCAGTGCAGACTTGCCTGCTCTTGGTGTCGTCTCTATTCTTTGGGCAAGCACTTCTTCCCTGCTCCACTCGTGCAATCAAACCGCATTTGATCAGCAATTACCAACACAGCCTCCTGCTACAGAAGCCCAGTGGGAGTTATTAAGAGAAGTGGCACGGGGGGATTATCTGTGTGAACAATACTGCTGATTCACTAGAAAGCCACCCTAATAAGTGTTCTTCCAACTACAGTAAGGTAAGTTTTATTTCATCCTGTCCTTAGTTCAGATCCAGAACTGGCCAAAAACAGGTGCTGCTTCTTTGACCAGTGGAGTCTAGTGCACCCACGGTGCCCTTTCCGAGAGATGCTTGGCCTGGCCACAGTGATGCATGTCACAGTTGCATCCCATTTGGACTACTATTATGTGCTGTGTGTGCATGTACCTTCAAAACCTGTGCAGGAACTTCAGCTGGTCTGGAAGGATGCATCCAGACTGATGTTGAGGACCTGCTTGCTTATGTATTAGATATACAGGGGGTGCCAAAATGCATACACATTTTAATAGATGTTATCTGTGTATTACTTTTCAAAGTTGAATGGAGTTACAGTAGCAATGTGTAGTATGACCATTCGCTCAAAAGATGGCATTAATCAAATGAATGCTAGCATCACCGTACAACAGTTTTTAATACAGTTTTTTTCTTTCTTAAAATGTGTATACATTTTTGATACCCTCTGTATATCCTCCCTTTTTCCTTTTAAAGAATTCAAAGTGGCTTATATCATTCTGCTCCTGCTGCTCTCAATCTTATCTCCACAACAACAGCCCTGTGAGGTAGGTTGGGCTACAAGTCTGTGACTGGCCCAAAGTCACCCAGATGGCTCCATGGCTGAGCATGGACTAGAAGCCAGATCGCCCAAGTTCCAGGTCTTAAGCACTATACCACACTGGCTCTCTGGAGAGAGCAGCTATAAGGAGCAGGTGAATTACAGTACTTCATTGGTTTGTTCCCAGGTAGAATTCAGAGTGCTGGTTATGACTTATAAAGTTTTAGACTACCTGAAACTGTCTTCTTCCCTGTGAGCCTGCACCATCCTCAAGATTTTGTGGACAGTCTCTTCTTTCAAGACTGGCCTCTTCAGAGGTTCATTTGGTGGTGAACCAAAAGGAAGCTCTTTTCAATGGTTGCCCCCCCCCCCCCCGGCTTTAAAACCCCCTCCTTTCTATCCTTTCAATGGCTGGCAAAGACTATTTTATTCAAGGCCTTTGGCTAGTAAACAGATCCGTATGCTGGGTGCCTTTTTATTCTGCAAATGTTATGTTATTCTATTTGAATGCTTTATTGCTTTAACATTTTCAATTGTTTTGTAAGCTGTTTTTAGTGTTTCTTTTTGGTAGAAAGGTGGGGTATAAATCAGATATATAAGCACGGCACCCCCATGACAATGTGTACATATAAAAGAATGAGGAGCTGGGATATGTACCCCAGAATAAGTTTTGGGCAACCTCAAGCATCCACCCACCAAATGCCCACAAAAGTGTCTTCTTTGAGATGACGTAGAATGACTTCTGCCCCAACATTTTGCGAGGGTGCAAGTCTTTTTGAGCGTCGTGCTCCAATACGAGTAAGAAGCAAGGCATATAGAACTAAATAAGGAGCCAGGTTTTGCATGCTACGTGAAACTTTGGACCTCGCAATGCATAAACCCACATGCTATAAGGGCATTATGTATGAAGGGAAATAGAATTAAGAACTTCACTATGTTTTGGTTTCTTTAACACAGCGCCAGTATCCAGAGGAAGCACAATGGCAGATATTTTGCCTACAGAATCCCAGGTTCAGGCCTGAGGATCTTCTGTTAAAATGAGGCATGGATAACACTTTTGCTCAAAAGATCAAGAAAAAGACAGGGCTAAGCTAAGTGGACTTAACATCTGACTCAGCCCAAGACAGCTTCAGTGGTCTACCTTTTCCAGGAGAAACTTGCAAATAACATCTAGCTTTAAAAACAAAACTTAAAACCTTAAGGGGAGAAGGACCAAGTGCCACAGTGAAAGAACAGTTCAGACACTTATGATCTCAGGAGGCACAATCCATCTTTACTAAAAATTTCTGCTTTAACCGCACTGTTTAATAAAAGCGGCGCACTAAGCGATGCAACATATCAAGAGGCTTTGCTGGTTCATTTTTCACTGCACTTAAAAAGGCAATGAAAATCACGCTCTCACATACATGCCCACTGCCCATTGTGTGATTCCTTTCTGAAAATGGGGCAGGAAAAAAGTAGCCAGGAAACCCACTGCATGATGGACAAAGCCTCCCCTGGGACAACAACAAACGAGTGGTAGGATAACCTCCAGCTAGATTACAGAAACCCAGATTACCCTGTCCTGTATGATTCATTCCTCTTCAGGAAGCAGGCAACATTACCAAGGTAGCTGGAAGCTGTTACCGGATCAATCTCGGGAGGTTTGGATAGTTCCAGCTATGAGTCTGGGGAGGGCAAGCGGGCTGGATACACGGCAAGAGGAGAAGGAAGCAGTGAGCAACTATTTATTTTGGCCTGAGCCAGAGAAGTATGACTTGGAATGGCTTGGCAGCTCTTCTTAAACCCCCAGGCCCTTCTCAGTGGGGACAGAAGCACCACTACCACCCCTGGTTTTCAGGGGACTGAACTGCTTGACCCAGAAGCAAGCAATGCCATGGAGTTCAACAGGACTTATTGCTTAGCAGGTCTGCATATAAGATTTGCCTGTTAAGTTACCTTTTCATTTTGCAGACAAATAAGCAAAAGTAGAAGAAAATCAGGATAGAAGGAAAAAGCTGGTAGGGGACAGAAAGTGTATGAGTCGAGTCAAACTCTACTCCTAAATACAGATCTGTCCTTTTAAAGATGGACTTGCCTGTTCACAACTGTTATTTTTGAACCACAGATCTGTCTAAACTAAGCAAAAGGGGGGAAATCCATAAAATTCCAGCATCTAGACTTGAAGAGCTGCCTCCGAGAAAGCAAGCCCCCTGCAAATGTAACAGAAAAGAGCATTTCCTGTTTCTAACTCACTTCTTACTATAAACCAAGCAAAGAAAGGCAGGTTATTTCCCACATATTACAAATTGGAAGGGGCTGAATCGGAGGAAGAGTAGCACACAGCAGCACTGCATTGTAATGCTTTCGGAGTGCTTCAGGTTGACTCAGAGAGGCACAACAACCCTGTGGTGTTGGCCTGAGGCAGTACACACCTATGTAGGCTGGTTTGAATCTGGGAAAGCAACAACTCCACAGGGCTATCTACTAAACCCTTGGTAAAGCCCTAAACGGCTTGGGTCTTGGATACCTGAAGGAGCGCCTTCTTCCCTATGTGCCCTCCCGCCCCTTGAGATCTGAGGCGGAGGCCCTGCTCTGGGAGCCCTCCTTGAAGGAGATTAGGAGGGAGAGTACCCGGAGGAGGGCCTTCTGTGCAGTGGCATCCCAACTATGGAATATGCTCCCCAGAGAGGTTTGCTTGGCGCCAACATTATATTCTTTTCACTTTTTATTTAAACTCTTTTTATTTTCCCGTTATTTTAATGTTTAATTGATTTTAATTGAGGTTTTAGTATATTAATGGTTGGATGCTGTGGGGCTGTTCTCTTCTATTTATTTATTGTAAATCGCCTGAGACGTTTCTATGGGGGATGGGATAGAAATGCTTTAATAAACAAACAAACAGTACAACTTCAGTGTGTTGCTGTTTACTTAGTTCAGAGACAGGAGCTTAGCAAGGTCAGCAAATGGACTTCTAGCAGTTTCTAGATTCCCCCCTTAGCTTGGAAAGTTATTGCCCCCTTGCTGGGAGTCAACAATTCCCAGGCCACTTAAGACAGTTCTATTTGCAGAGGAGGAGGCAGGAGGCAAGTGCGCTGCCTGGCCATTTTACAACTTGCGGATCCTTGCCAGGGTTCGGGAGTTCTGTACTTTAGCACCTCTCTGCTGGCCACAGCACATGACTTTCCCGCCCGGAACCAGGAACAAAACCCCAGTGTGGAGTAGTGGTTAAGAGCCTGGGACTGGGACTCAGACGACCTGGGTTCTAGTCCCCACTCGGCCATGGAGCCAACTGGGTGACTTTGGGCCAGTCACAGACTCTCGGCCCAACCTACCTCGCAGGGTTGTTGTTGTGGGGATATGGTGGAGGAGGAGAATGATGTAAGCTGCCTTGAGCCCTTTGTAGGAAAAAGGCAGGCTAGAAATCGCAATATAAAGAAATAAATAAATAACCCACCCAAGGAGGCCCGTTCTCAGCGCCCACCTACTTCACCCTGCTGCCGCACTGCCTTCAGGGCAGGGGACAGGAGGCCCAAGAAGCCCAAGTTCTCCAGCTATTTCTCTCTCACATTTGCATTATTCACACCCTGCTCCAAGGGGAGCCTCACAGAAGGTTAGTGCACTTAATAAACTTGGCAAGCCTACGATTTTGACAGTCAAGCTGGGATTTGAATCCAGATCTTTCTGGTCCAAATTCAACGCTGCCTCACACTATTGTACTCACGGCGCATTTGTTTCCCCTTTCAAATATTCGATCTGATTGGGGAGGGGAGGGCACGATGCAGCAGGCACGAAGTGCGCATTTAAAATCCTTTGCCCTGTGTGTACATGTGTAAAAAGAAATGCAACACTAGCACTTAAAGGGAGACGTTTCCTATTTTGCCTTGCAAATTTCCAGCCCAAAATCACGCTACTAACCTCTTGATCGCTTGCTGAAATCTAACCTTTGACAAGCTATTTCCCTGTCTTGTTTAAGCAACACTCTAAAAAACAGTATTAGTGGGTTTACTTTCTTCATTTGTCCCAAGAGCTATGTTGTTTTGAAGCCTCAAACCTCTCCCTTCCCACAACACATTTAGGTTTTTAAAGGAAAGATGTGAAAATCAAAACCTAATTGTATACCATATTATTCCTATTCTTACATAAACACACCTTGGGCCAGGGCGGGGGCAACAAGCACCTCAAACTCACCATTACAGCTACATGGGCATATTGCACTAGTTTGAACGTCCAACGTACGAGTTCCTGCAAAGCAAAGACTGAAGAGGCACGGGAAATTTCTAACACGACACTGGGCGGTTTCTTGGACTGGTGCTAGCCGCCCTTACATTTACCCAAAGAGGGCCACTCATACGCCTCCCGGGGTCAGCCGTGGCCGAAGGTCCCAGACTTTCCTGCAGACCCGTCGAGAGGGGCGCCTACCCACTCCTCCGCCCTCGGCGCGAGAGGAGAAGCCCGGCGCGAGCGAGCAAGGAGTCGGGGCTCTTACCTGCTGCCGCCGCTGCCGCCGCCGCCGCCGCCGCCTCAGGTACAAGGCTCTCCCTGCGAGAGGACAAAGCGCAGCGATGCGACGGCCGGGCGCCCGGGACCACGCGCGAATCCTGCCCGGCCAGCACCTGGCGCCGAGCGCGCTCCGGGTCCGCAAGCCGAGGCGCGGGGAGGCGGGCGAGGGGGCGTGCCGCGTGCCCGGGCCGGGCCGGGAAGGGGCTGGGGGAGCGGGGAGGGGAGGGGAGCTGCGAGAGAGAGGGCGCTCGCCTGGCCGGGTCGGCGCTCTCGCCCGCCCGCCGCTCCTGGAAGCTACGAGGCTGACATCACGCTGACATCAGCCCCATTCAGGGCTCTTATCAGGCCCTCGCCCAGCTCGGAGCGACCAGCATGCAGGCGCATAAATCACCTCCGCTCCCCGCTCGCTGGATCTGTGTGTCTCCTGAGCGGGCGAGCTCGCCCTACGTGCGAGAGCCAAGTTCCGCCTTCGTCGGCTCATCCCTGCCCAGGTTCTCCGGGGCTGGAATTCCAGACCTGGTTTTCTGGCTGGCATTCCTGCTTTTCCATCCACGCCCCTTCCCCCTTTCCTCCTCGTTCAGGTGCAATAAATTCTGAATCGACCGGAAAGAAGATTCCCCGCCCCCGTGAGGGGCCTTCAGTGGCTTAATTTTAATAAGAAGCAGAGGCGGGGGAGAGAGTGAGGGTATTCCGCCGGGACGGGGACTCTGCGTATGCTCAGAGGAGCGTTACTAAGTAAAGCTATCCTCATCATCATCCCTGCTGGACAGACATTCCGGTTCTGCTCCGTGGGGGTTTTGATATTCTGCGATCGGTGGGAACTCTTCGGGCTTGCTGACTAGTCACCTATAGTTCAATCTTATCCATGTATATTCACCACAAAGCCCTATAGAGTGCGTTGGGATTTATTCTCAGGTGAGTGTGTCTAGGATTTATTTGTTACACCGAGTTCCCAACTTTCCCACTAAGGCAGCATATATGATGCTCCTACACGCCATTTTATCCACAAAAAAGCCCTGGGAGTAGGTTGGAGAGAGAATCAGTGGCTGGCCCAGTGTCACGCAGTGAGCAGCTCGCTAGGATTGCAGCCATTGACATAGACAACAGTCCCATGGCAGGACAGTGACTTTTTCTCGCTCCTCTCGCACAGACTAAACAAGGTTCAGTTTGAGTTCCCTGGCCCTCAATCAAAAGTGTCAATTGCTTCAGGACATGCATGGCCTTTCCTGATTCAATTGTCACAAGGAAAGAAAGCTGTTGTCATCAACATACGGATGGCCCCTGCCTCGGACGTCCTCAGGGCCACGTCCAGTGGCTTCATAAATATTTCTTAAATATATTCTTTAATATCGCGGGGGACAAAATGGCGGGCTGTGCCACCCCATGGCATAAGTGCCAGCACTCTGGTACTTTCTTGCTCCGGCAAATGAGAGGTAAGCACTGTAAGGCAGTGACTCCAACTCTCAGAGATGATCCAGAAGGATACTGTGGACAATGGTATCAAAAGCTGCTGAGAGTTCCTGCAAGACCAGCAGTTACACTCTGTCCTTCTCCCTGAAGAGCTCAGCCATCTGGGTGGCCACAACTTGCTTTGTCCCAACACCAGGCCTAACCCAGACTGAAGCGGACACCTCAAGTGAGTGATACTAGTCTTAAAGTACCAGTGGAAAAAATGTCACAGCAAACTTGTGAGGGTTCTAATACAGAATTTACTGGGTTAGATGACAACAGATCTGAACCACCTGGGAAAGTCCTGTTGGAAGGCTACTTGATACAGTGGGACCAGCAAAGCCAGCCTTCTTCATTGCCTTCACAGCCACACAGTAGGCACAATTATATGTTTTTATGCATTGACCTAGTTTGCATGGCATGACAACCCAGAATGGATAATTAGCCAGAGCTGGTTGTCGGGTCATGCAAACCAAGACCACTTTTCACAGGGTGGCTTGCACCCCACCCCCCAAAAAAAGCCACCCTGAGAACTCATGGGCTGTATTAAGGATTGTGCAACTCATGATGGGCTATTGCATCATCTGAACTCAGGTAACTGATCCCACCCATGGGTTGCAGGAAGCAGCAAGGAAGCCATTCAGCAAAAGCAGTAAAACAGCCCCTGCCTCTCTTGGCAATCTCATCTGTGCCACCTCCAGGCACCACACTGGATGCATTGTCACTCATTTGCCACTTTTTTGTGCGTGTGCCCCAGATGTGCACAGGGTTTTTTTGGAATTAAAAAAAAAATCTTGGTCAGACTTGCACAACTGCAGAGGTTCACAGTTCTGTGGACATAAGTGGGAAGTCTTAGCCAAGCAATACCCTGCAGGGAGGGTGTATTTGCCATTGAAGTGGAGGAGGTACAAGCCCTGGGCTTTGACCCAAAGAGCTCCAAATAGTATTTTTTCCCCACTTTGCCTTTCTCTGACAACCATCAAAAGGTGAACTTTCAAATCGAATTGAAGAGTGATCTTTGCTCATGAAAGGGGATAGATTACATTTTTCTCCCTTCACAGTGTTCTTGGGGTTTCGAGCGTCCTGTCATAAGTTGTAATGTCCCTGACTTTTCCACACATTCCCAAAAGCATAGCTGCTCGGGTCCTGTCCCCCTTCCTCCATGCTTGCCCAATGCTAGGCATAGCCTCTTACAGCCTGTTCCCACCCAGAAGGGTTTCCTGGTGAACAGAAGGGAATGAACCACAGTGACTTCCCCAGCTGTGCAGACTGATGAAACCCTTGGATGGATAGTTCGTATGTTCCAACTTAGCACCCGACTAACCACATGGCAGTGGTCCACTGTTTTTAATGCTTTGTATTTGGTGCTTGATTTTATGGTTTGCCATGATTCTTTACAGCCTTGGTGGTTCTGGCTGAGAGGCAATATAATATGAGAAATAAACTGGGTTTTGGCTGCAAAATTGATCTGGGGCAAATTTCATCTGAGCGTGCATTGTTTCGAGTGAAATATGCCATATTATTCATATGTAGAACATGCCTTCTTCTCTGCAGCTTCCTCCAAGTTTAGACAGGAGCTCTCTGTGCCTTAGTTGGCACAAAAAACTCACCACCCCAGTGGGAGTGACTGTACAACTCTGGTGGGTCCCCCAGGCTCAGACGAGAAAGCTAGAACTGAAGCTTCCAGTTCTGATTTGGGAGGCAGAAGTCATGCCTTCCTCATGTGATCAATGGGCTTTGGTGTCTCTGCCAAATATGCATGGAGCGTATGAGAGTGAAAGTGGCCAAGACTGTGCTGGCAGGAGATTTCTGCTGGAGGAAGAAAGCTGAATGTATGTGGCACGGGAATTCTGCTCAACTTTAGGGATATTATTGTCTTCGGAGGGGTACTGCTGACCCCGCCGTTGGAGGACAGGAGACGACTGCAGCACACAGACAGGCTGCGGACGCTGCTGTGCAGCCCGGCATCTCCACAGAAGTCCCCTCTGCTGGAGTACAAACACGGCCTACGGTCCCATCATTAGTCTTGGCGCACAACCCAGCTGGCATTCCACTTTGCAGCAGCATGTGGAAGGGTGGCATGGTGTGGGGAGTGAAGCAGGGCCATCTTCCATGTAGCCTGAAATGCCTGATCCTGCCTAATCTTGGAAGCTAAGCAGGGTCAGACCTGGGCAGAAGTGGGATGGGTGACTTGAGTGTATGATTCTATGATTATTGCTGTCAACTGCCTAGAGAGCTTTGGCTATGGGCAGTATAAAAATGTAATAATAATAATAATAATCTTTGTCTTTGCCTTTGCCTTAAGCAGCAAAGCATTCTTGGCTGACCTGCTAGCAGAGCATAATCTCTACCAAGCCCTCCAACCTCTAGGAAAGGCTATTGTACTTCAAGCAATGGTCTTAAATGACTGTTCTTTTAGTGTGCATCTCTAGCTTTGCTGATGTACAATATTTGCTTTGTTAGTTTGCTGGGCCTTTCTAAAAGCCCTGTGAGGGCCAGAATACCAGTGCAGATGCAGGCATGGCTTATTCTTGGTTTCCAAAGTAAATCCTTCCCTCCCTCCCCAGGCTGTCTCTGTTGATTTTTGTGTAATTTGAACCTTTACCCAACATCATCTCTTTCTGATGTAATTGAATATCTGCTTTAACCCACTTCCTGCACTTCTGTACAGAAAATCTGCAATGCAGACATAGCTGAGCAAAAAGCAGCCAAGCAAAGGAACATCAGACTATTCGTAATCCCTGCTCCCACCCCAGGCACCCATTCTCAGGAAGAGTCATTTTGATACAAAAGCTTCCTTTTAGAATGTCACCTGCCAAACCAGCTTTGCCCAACCCGGTGCCTTCCAGATGTTTTAGCATACTTTTCCCAGTATCTCCCAACATGTGTGTAGTGCAACACATCTCAAGAACACAAGGTTGGACGTATCAAAAGATAGAGTGGGGAACATGTGTTCCTGCAGATAAGGCCTGGGGGAACATGTAATGTTTGAGCTGGTTGAAGTTTTCTGAATTCCTCCTCAAAACTCAGATCTTCTCATCCACACTCCAAAAGGAGAGCATCTTTTCTAAATCCAGAAAAATGACATTTTTAAAAGTGACATTTTCCACCACTGAAAAAATTCATGCTTTAGGAAATATTCTTTTTGCCCAATTGAAAATCCACATTTCTCCCCATAGATGGATGGGGGGAGGTGCACTTGTGCATATACACGCAAACACCTATTTTTTAAAGTGCACACTTCCAAAAGCATTCATTTTCAAACATGACTGCAAAGTTTGTGAAATCAT